ACACTGACTGGATGGAATCTTGCATCCTCACTGTGCATCACCAGCAAGTAACTGATTCTTTTCATGGAGCAAGGAGGAGATGGTAACTAAATGAAGTTCCAGGTATAAACGGGTTTTTTAGTGTTGACTAGCACTATGCCCATGTCTGGAAAACAATCCACTCGTTAATAAGCATCTCAATAGATGACATTTCTCTCTAAATCTTCCATCACCTATTTCCTCCGTTCGTGTCTACTGGCCTCTCCCTACTTGACTCTTTCTTCTTTGTTGGTGTTTAATGTTGTGGAATTGGTACCATTTTCTATCAACTCTGTTTGAGGATGAAATATGCTTGAAAAGTGATTTCTATTAGAATCAGGGCAGGCAACTCCTCCTCCGCAACTGACCTGATTTTATTTCCCCAAACACAGCAAGACCTCACCTCTCTCCTCTAGCTTGGTCACTGGTCTATGATCTGAGTTAAACTGAATATGCCATTCATGTGGACATTGGTTTATGTCGTAACCTTGGGACAACTTCTCGAAATGAAGAGTTAGCAACGAGAACCCAAGGACCTCACCTCGTTCATACAGACAGGCCTCTCTGAATACACAGGAAGGCCACTGAGTCTTCATCAGAAATTGACACCCAGTTTTATGAATATAGTCGGCACATATTTTAGTGCTTTTAAAACTGTCCATTTAAAAGGCCAACCAGAAGGAACACAAGTATCTCTGGGATCCGGCTTTTGCCCCAAGCATTCTTGAAAACATAATAGTGGGTGGATATGCTAGTAATAACAGTACAATCCACAGGGAAGCAACAAGAGCCTGGCTTTGGAGTCAAGAGTGCCTGAACCAAGATCCTAACCGATGGTACTGGGGTGCTTCTACTCTATGACAAAATGTATGAACCGGGAAAAATCCAGTTCCTATTATATGGGGTGCCTGAGGACTCGTGAGGTGTATTTGTACCTGCTTAGAAGACACCTCACTATGCACATGTCTGTCACTTATTTATACAGCATTATCCATGTTGCAAAATGTTTTACGTTTCCTATTTCTATGTTACATGCCTCTATCCAATTTATCACCACAGTCATGACCCTTCAATTAAGAAACTAGAACTAAGAAAAGTTCAATAATTGTACAACTGAAACACAGCTAGAGATAGGCATGGTGGTGTACATCTATAACCCTGGCATTGGAGGGCTGGAGGCAAGGGGCTCAGGGTTCATGGTCAGCCTCGGCACACTGACAGGAGCTTGTGCTGAATGAGAACCTGCCTCCCGTGGAACAGCAGCAACAATCTCAATGGCAGTGGCAGAGGAGGAATTAAATCCAAACTCTCCTACATTCAGTCTGATCCTCCAGCTCAGGGTTCTCAAACCTTCCTAACGCTGCAGCCTTTCATACAGTCCCTCAAGTTGGAATATAACTGTATGTTAGGAATCATAATGTAAATACCTGACATGCAGGATATCTGATATGCAGCCCCTAAAGGGGTCTTGAACCACAGTTTAAGGACCACTGCTCCAATTAGCTAATCCTAACTTTTAAAATTCTCCTTTCAAAAAGCAACATTATCACTGAAGAACCCTATACCTTTACAGATAATTTCAAGATGGAAAACCCAACTGGCAATACCCTACAGCTAAGGACAGCAGATCTGTATCACTCACATATAAAACGCATTTATTCAGTAAGAGTTACAAAGCCCCCCTCCTTACCTATTGCTCAATCTCACAGCGATGCTCAGGAAGAGAAAGTGAATTCTTGTAACTGCAGATTTTAGTAAAACGGAGCCACAGTAAATATTAAAGTGCCCCCCTTTTTTTTTTTTCAATGCTATGCATCAAACCAAGGCCTTGGGCATCCAAGGCAAGTGTTCCACCACTGTGTAATCTATAGACAGAGATAAATAAAGTATCAAAAATATGTCACCTCACCAGTGGCTTCCAAAAACACAAACCTAACCACATTACTGAACTCCTTTAAAACCTTTCAGAGATCTGCCACTGTGTACTGCAGGAGCATCCCCAGGGGCTCAATACTACAGGCCCGCTGCAATGTGGTTTCTACCATTCCTTGCAATCCCTATGCTTAGCTACTTGCAGTTCACAGATAAACAAGTTCTCCATCTTTGTTCATGAAGCTCCATCCCTTTGAAGCAGCCTTTCCTGTCACCCTAAATCTACCATGCTCTTTTGATCTCAGATCAAGTGGTACTTCCTCTCAACACCCTTACAGGAGCCTCCCACATCTCCCTTCTCCCCAAGGTTAATTAGACTCCTACGGGTTCTTTTAATACTAGGTGCATGCAGCCATGACAGCTAATTCCTCAAAGCATGTTGTAACTGTCCGGCAACACATTGATTTGTCATATGAACTATGACTTTTTCAAGGCAGAACTGTGTTCTATTCTGTGTTTTACTGCAGAGGCCCAATAAGCATGTGTTAACTACACATGAGTTAAGTTATCCCGTAGTCCACGGGTCATTTCACAAACAACTCTACTTTAATGGCCTTAAAAAACATATACATTAAGCTCTTGCATCTTTTGCTGCTAAAATGCACATCCCAAACTTCTCACCATTCCTGAACTGCTCTCATCTTTCACCAGAAGTTAATTTCAAAGAAGAGCTGAGTTTCGAGAAGAATGTAAATAAAATGTGTTGTAAAGTTGGAAATGGAAGTTGTAGTGGCATGTTTTCAAGTCATCCTTATCACCTGGCTCCCTCAGACAAGCTAAACCCTCACTGCACTGGGTAAACAGTGGCCAATCTGATGTATAATATACCTGCATCTCCTAATTTAGGGACACAAGGGATTAAACAGACATTGTGGACTGGCCTCCAACTCTGTCCTCCATGTGGGATTATCATTCATGATTTGTATAGCAAACATGTAATTTACCAGTATTTTAAAAAGCAGTACTATGCCTCTACACCTCCATAGTGTTTGTTGTTCATTTTGTTTTACACCTTTGAAGGACTTGTGGGATTTTAGAAGCAGGTACTTGGAGGTCTCAGTAACCCACCTCAAACTCTGTGGACATTTCGCAATGAACAGCCCTGGCCTCGGGCCTCAGGCCCACAGCTCCCTCTGCACGTGGCTATCCCCAGTCCCTCCATGCCCCACAGTGCTCATTGAGGGCGGGGAGCAACTCCCGTGCATGGCATGTTCTGGTAACGTGTTCTGCAGTTTCTGTAATCACATCACCACTGACAAACACCTACCCTGCTTCTATCTCAAAAGCTCTTTCTCCACTCCACAAACAAAACATCCACCCCCGTGAAAACTACACAGTGTCGGGTGTGGTGGTGCACGACTTTGACCCCAGCATCCTAGAGGCAGAAGCCGCCTGCAGATCTCTTTAAGAGTTTGATGCCAGCCTGATAGACATAAAGAGTTCTAGGGCAGCCGGGCTATACAGTGAGCCCCTATCTCAAATAAATTAAATAAATAAATGCAAGCAAGAACACACACACACACACACACACACACAAAACCAGCAACAGAACTACACAGAACAGGCACCCTGTTTGGATGCCCTAGGCTTGCCACAGACCCAACAGCTTGCACACGCCTTCCCATCACCTATGTTCTTTTGCTGAGTCAAAAGTCTGGGTCTGGTAGTGCTGCTCCTCTCCTGGTGAGTGTGAGAGCTGCTGGGGGGGTGGGGGAGGGGTAGGCCTGATGACTAGACACTCACTGACAGGAGGGTAGTGAGAGCCAAGGCCCAAACCACCCCACTGTCTCCTGGCTCCCAGCTGCCACCCTTCCCTTCCTGCTCCACCCCTCCTCCTCCTCACAGGCTGAGTGACACCAGCCAGCATCTCACAACAGAAGCCAAAAGAAGCTCAGGGCTGTTGCCCCAGAAACCCTGTCTACAGAGTGAGTGGCCAGGCTGTTTGTTTGTCTTATAATCAAAAAGTCCCACTGGGGGACCCTTTGGAGACTCTGGGCTGCCGCGATGGCTGAAGACAAAGCCCAATTTTGCATTACCTGGGAAGCAAAAGCAACTAAGAGAACACAGCCCCCAACCCCTGCCTAATTACAAGTGGGGACAGGGGAGGGAAGGAGGCCTGAACATCTGGCCTCTGGCCTTTGGCCTTTGCAAATGAATCTCCAGAGACGCACCCAGTCCATCCTGCCCTATTACCATTTCCAAGAAGAAAAGGAAAAAAATAAGAAACTGTTAAAGGAACGCAGGACTGTCGGCCGGCCGGGAAGCCACGAGGCTCTCCTGGGGCCATACATATGCACAGGCACCACTGGGACTAGGCGGCCTGAAAGCTTTCCTTGGTGTTCTCAGTTTTCAGCTATGTAAAACAAGCTATCCTCTGGTTCCGCCTGTATGGCCAATGCAAGGGAACACCCCACCACACAGGGCAGAAAAACACTGGCATCTCGCATCTCCCCTGCATTAATTAACCCAGAGTACATGACGGCTCCTCACAAACACTAAGGACACAAAGCACCTATGGCCACATGATGCTTACAGAAAAGCTACATTAAAAAAAAAAAAAAAAAAAAAAAAAAAAGATTGCTGGGTTGTGCTCTGCATCCTAGGTACCAAAAACCATGAGACCTGAGTTAGACCTCCTTAGCTCAGCGGCCTTGGGTGCGCCGCGTGTGCGCATACACACACACACACACACACACACACACACACACACACACACACGAAAACAGGCTGTCCTACAGCTTCCCTCAAAACACTCCAGAAAGCCAGGTTGCCTTGAGGATTACTGTGCATCAACAGCAAAGTTGAACACACATACCTGTAAATATCTGCTTGCTTTTAGAATCTATCAATTCATCCAACCAGAAAGCAGAGCCAAACAGCTTAGTCACCAGTGCAGGCAGGCAAAGCGCTCCGTGAAGTAAACATGGTCATTTCCACCCCCACCTGAGACAAATTTCTACCCAGTGCATCAGCTTGCAGATACAGCACCCGGGAACAGATGGGTGAATTCCTGCCGCCCTGATCCCCACTCAGTCCCCTCCCCCACTTACCTGCGATCCGAAGCACAGCCCTCTCAGCCGGGTCCAGCACCGAGCCCCCTTGAATCTTTCTTTTGGACCTCTCATGTTTAGGTAAATTCCAGGGTAAGGTGTCTCCAGGAGCTGGAGATGCTGAGCCGGATTTCTGGCTGAAATCATCCTCATCAGAAAAATCCGCAGAGGACGACATAGAGCAGCGGTAGGACGCGTTCCCGGAGCTCTACGGAGGATGACACAGGAAAAGCATTAGCGACAGAACGCTCACAAATGATCCTCGCTCACAAACCAAACCATCATCGATTACGGTAACTCTGCCCTCTCCCCACCTCCAAACTGCTCTGTCCCCCAGAGAACACACACACAAATGAAAATGAAACGAACTCCAGGGCTCACCATAGTTTCTTGGCCAAATCTGCTCCAACAGAAACAGTAAGCAAGCAGTTCCGATACGTGAAGACCAGAAGGAAGAAGTCTGTGGCCTGCGCTACAGCCACCAGCTCAACAAATGACTGGCCCAACAATGAAGCCCGAATCAACAGCCTTCCTGCGACCAATCCACAGTATCTGGCTCCCCCACCAGGTCAGGAGAAACATTTTCCACCGCTAGCCTTCTGGTTAATTCATTAATGCAACTAAGTTTAAGTCTCAAAAACAAAGCACAAACGCAGGATGTTGGGTTCCACCTCCTTTCCGTCTCAAGCCGCCTGGTCGCGGGAACCTCCTTTTAACCAGTTTGGAGCCCTGTGTCCTCTTTATTCAATTTTCTGCATGAGGCTTAAAGCAGGTTCCCAGAAAAGGGCGAAGGGGGTGGGGGCGGGCTGATTCTGAGAAGAGCCTTTTCTTAAGACCGGGAGAACACAAAAGCCTGTTTTCAAAAGCTGAAGGCAACGCCAATAAACAAACATCTGAACTCGGTTTAGAGTTCTTGAGATAGTTTAAACTTCCAGCAGGGAACAGCCGCCAATAATGCAAATGAGAAGGGCACAGTGCAGTGACAGGAAGCTGAGTTCTTCTCAACTGCAGCCATCACACAGTAAGATGAGTATCAGACTTTCACCAAAAAATACTTCTCCTGAAGGTTATTCCTCCCAGATTCAGCAGGAGCTTGGTGCCCTCCAGCTCATATTTTTCACAAAAAGGCACACAGACAGAGTCATTCTTTCTTTCTGTTTGTTTTGGTTTTGGTTTTCTGGATTGTGTATGTGACTATTTGGACAAACCTGCCAGCTCAGGCAGGAAAAGATTTCTGCACTGTGGACTGGATTAAAAATTCTAAAGATTATGGAAGGGAAGTCTTCATTTGCTCCTTTGCTGAGGCTCATGGTGAAGATGCCAAACTATCAAACTTGAAAGTTGTAGCTATGAAATCCCAAGCAGCAAGCTGCAGGCAGAAATCAGCTCAGAAAATACTGGGAACTGCAGCACCAATGGGCTGTGTGGGCAGCATCCAACGTACTCAGACTGGGCTTGTGGGACAGACTATAACCGCATCAGGACCACCGACCTTACCTCCATCCATTCAAGCCACAGCTGTTCATGGTCAAAGTTACTACTGTAAAAGTTCATCCCTCCCTACACAATGAGACATGCCAAGATTTATTTAATTTACTTTCACTTTCCTAGTAATAGCAAGACAGTAAGGAAACTTGAGGAAAGCAAATGAGTAAACATGACTTTCTGTATATTAAACGACAGTCCATGGAAGCTATGTGTGTGGCATTTGGCTGTTATCAACCCAATTTCTTTCCCCAAGCTTTTCTGAAAATTCAACTTGAGTCATCTGAGGTTTGCTGTTGGTGGGATATAGAGGAAATGGTGACATTCTGAAGGGCTTTTAGGGGGTATTGGGGTCCTTTGGTTGCCTTGTGTTCCTCAAAATGGCTTCCTACTTGTCCTTTCTCAAGGCCATCCTTTATCTTTGAGGTTGTGTTTCTGCACTGTTTTAGTGAGAACAGTAATCTGTTGGTCTGTCCTGGGCTGGGAGGAATAACTGTTCCTTTCCAAAAAGCACTGGTTATTGATTTTTCCAGAGTAAAATTTTTTTAATGGTTAGAGTCTCAGCTGACTGAACGACAAAATGTGATTTATGCCACGACACCAACACTATTAATCACCTACAGCCAGATGGGAACAGTTACTACCCTGGACCCAAGGGTGTCGACTGGCACAGCCTCTAATCTGGCCATGTCATTGATAACTAGATAAGAGAGGACAGTAAGAAAAATAATCAAGGCCACATCTTTCAACAGTTTACTACAGGGACATACAGACCACACACATTTATATCAGACATGTTTATAGACAATAATGTCCCTTCTTGTCTACAGGGTTCAAAGGCCTTTTAAGTTAGAGTATTACACTTTTCCCCAAACACACACACACAAACACACACACACACACACACACACACACACACGTCACTTTTAGAACTGGAGGGACACTCTAGAAAATTAAAGCCTATTCGAGAGCTGAAAATTGAGACTATATTCAAAGGAAGCTACTTCAAAGTGGAGAGCTCATACAAATTTTTATATTGCTTATTGATCTGTAATGATTTGCCAAATTGTGTCACTATCTTGGGGCTGGAGAGAATAGTATGAGAACACTACTGTGTTTTATTTGTTGGAGAAAAGCAAACAGCTCTCTGACCCAGACGCTAGAGCTTGACCTTTGATAAGGTTTAAAACAGTAGGCTCCTATGAGCATCAAACGCCTCGGGTTCCTATTTTTTATTCTGCTGGTTGTCTAAAGATTGACTCCTATCAAAATGCAAATATCCATGTCCACCCACAGGGGATTCGTTAAATATACTGTATCTATCCCGTGGGCTACTCTGCAGTATGTAACCAAAAATGTTGATCTACATTTAACAAAGAGGAAATAATTCATACATAACGAAACCTTTAAAACCCATACACATATGTGCACCCGCTGCATGTATAAAAAAGACAGATGGTATATTACTATTAAACAGTGCTTGTCTCTGGGCAGTGACAAAGATTAACACGTTTCCTTTGCTTCTTGCCATTTTTAAATGCAAACAAATTAAAGAAATCATCCAAAGGAAATGTCCAGAGAAAATGTCAGACATGGAAACTATGTTTGGGGATCATGAGTATCACTGCAAAGTGAATGGAGCCCACTCAAGCCTCCTTCCAGAGCAAAATAAACAATTACTCGGAAACCACATTAGCAAATGCATAGGATTCTCTGGCCTCCTGACCCTGGGGTTAGGACTCCAATTCACACCACCCTCTGTCATCACCATTTGCTGATAACAAGGGAAATAGGAACTAGTTCGCCAGAAAGGGAAAGGGCATTTGGGTTGTGAAGGCAAAGCTGACATTTTTTCGCTCCCCCAGCCCCTCACCCCATGGATGTGCACTCTGTACTGTATAACCAGAACAAATAAGAACATTAGGCTCTGATCAACCAAACGACCCTGCATCTGGTCTTCTACAACCTGGGGTATTCAACCAATTTTATCAATCAAATTAGATCACTAAGACTCACTCTAACTTTCCTGACAGCCAGTTCGTTTACATGGTACAAAAACATCCTAATGCTGAGATAACTGCATGATGTGGCATGTTTAAATAACAATAATTTTTAAATTGAAGCCCCAGGACAGGATCTGTGACATGGACAGCGAGACTGCCTAACTGGATATGGCCTGGACTGCTCAGCCAGGTCTGTGAGAAACTGCCAGGAAATTGCCTTGGCACTGGGTACCTTCTAAAGGCAACGGGAAACAAGCCCAAAGATAAGGCTTTTGTTAAAAGACCCAGACATTCAGAGTCCCACAGGTTGAAGAATATACTCTCACTGGACCATGAACTCATCATCTATCCACATGTCTATTTATGAATGCTTCAGATTAATTAAAAAAATAAAAGAAGCCTTACACAAATTTTGATTATGGGCCATTTTACAAGATGGCTGTCCTAGACAGACAAAAGGGGCCACCAAATGTGTGTGTGTGTATGTGTGTGTGTGTGTGTGTGTGAGAGAGAGAGAGAGAGAGAGAGAGAAAGATGAACCTTGATTGAACTCTGCATTCTTTAAAAAGAAGGAAAAAAGGAGAGAAAGAAGAAGAAAAGAAAAAGAGCTAAAAACACTTCCTAGGAAGAACTGGGGAAAATCTAAAGACGATTCATGGTGGCTTGTCAGATATATTAGGACTGTGACTTTCTAAGCTGTGGCAGTGATGTCTGTTTATTTTTAATTGAATTAAACAGAACTAGTCACTCTAATGGTAGAATGACTACTCTTGTTTCAGGGGAGGGTTCCAGACAAAGAACTGAAGGCAATATGTAGTGAAGACTTTGGTTGCCCTTTGTGGAGAGGGAGGTTAGGGGCTGAACCCAGAGTGTAGCCCTTGTGAGACAAGTACTCAACCACTGAGCTACATCCTCAATACTTAGTTCTTTTGGGGGGGGGCAGAATTTCACTCAGTCTGGCTTTGGCTTAGCCAAGTTTAGTGTGCTCTCCAAACCCATGATCATCCTGTCTCAGACCCCAAATGCTGGGATTACAAGCATCTGACACCACATCCTCCGGTTCTTTCTCACAAGTAAGTATCAAAGATTAGCTAGCTACCTCTTGTTTCAAGGTTTACAAGTGACATCCCTTTCATAAAGCTACATTTTGTTTATTATCCACCCACGGTATCCACCCATGGGTGAAGGCTTCCGTTGATTATGTATCCTGGCTAGCGTGTATACTGAACAGGGGATGGCAAAATTAACTGAAGCTCCCATTAAAATCATAGCTTCAAATTCAAGACAGTCTTAGCTGGCTTCCTGCTTAACCAGCATATTCCACCCAGACGCATCGTTTACTGGGTGACCATAATCAGGGACTAGATTAAACATTTCACTCATTGGCTGATCATCTGAAACAACAACCCAAAACAGAAGCAGGTTTTAGGGAACGTGAACTTCTTACACACATCCATTCTATCAGCACAAGGCAGAGCCAAGACTTCTACTTTGCACCTGTTGACGGCAAGCCTGGGTTCTTGGCCACACAGTACCCATGTACTAGATGAAACAGAACATGCTCAAGTCCTTCAGAGATCTCTCCATGTATTCGCAGGGCATGAAAGAAGTAGTTTGTGGTCATCTTGGACTATATAGCAAGAATTACCTCAAAGGACGAAGGTATGGAAATACCAACATCAAGGGCTAGTTTGTATTTACGTATCTACGAAGGGACTTT